AATTTCTCACCTTCCTCTTGGCCAACAGGGCATCATTATCGTCTACTAATTGTGTATCGTTGATATACCGTGTAGAATATTTTCACATATTTAAGAGAAAATTTTCCACTACTTTGTATAGTCTGTAATTTGTTTGTCACGAGGCTTTAGTCAGATAACTTTATAGATATTGTTTTTCGGTTTTTTTGTCTCTTTCATAGTGTGCATTTTAGTATATCCCCACAAAATAAATATGTAGATCAACTTGTGATTTGTATCTTAAATTTTGACTTTGATTTGAGGTAGAACACTTGATTAAGCATTAACATTGTTTGTCGTGGGGTATCCTAACTATATGTCAAGGAAATGTTCAGCTGATCACTTAAAAGTCATTCAATGCCTATTTTATTTTTCAAACTTTAACTTTGGCTAATTATTTGCATAATCCAACAAATCGATAGTATATTTAGAGCGGAATATGCTTCGGCTTGAAAACTGTATTGGTTTTGTTCCTCCATACCGGTTTTTATGTTCATGTCAAGTCATTAAAGCAGACTCTGACCCGAAGATCCGACTCACATATAACGATTAAATTTTAATATTGGATGGGATCTGATGGATACTGATCTTCTGAAATTTTTACACCGTCATACTGCCCTCGTAGTTTATTCATGTTCTTTTTTGATGACGAATTGGATATCATTCTCAAAAGAACCTATTAAGTGTATACTGTCTTTTTTTTCTACCGTAATAATATGATCTGCAGGTCAGATAAAAATCTATGGACGAGCGTATTGGATAAACGAGTTTAACTAAATACCGTTTGATAATTTTCAATTTACATTGCAACTGAGCATCACCGTTTGGTTACAGTAATAGTGTAACTACTGATCTCACTGTCTAAGGAAGAATGGTAAAAATTAGTGGAACAGCAAAACTTCATCTTCACCTAACATGACCGCTTTTCCCTACGGGTTGCGGAGGCAGACTGGTCAGGTGGTGCTTTTAAAGTTCCGAATCCTGTGCCAGAGTCTGACCTTCGACAGAAGACAACTGGAGTCTGTAGCTGGAGCAAACTTCTTTCATATATTTGCACCAGATTGATCCTGGCTATTTCCTGCGTCTCCCGCCAGTCGGATGGAAAAGAAATTGTTGGTTTGCCTTCCTTTCTGGAACATTCGTAATGCAAGAACGAACCATCGTAGATGTTACTTCTGAATGTGAAGAAGTAGCGACTGTATACCAATCGCTCTCTCGCGAATGTCTGTATTCCGGACAATGTCGAGACACGCAATGAGAGCGACTCGTTTCAGAAAGCCCATTTCAACAGCTTGTACCCTGATTCGATGCTTTTTCATTGACAATCCACGATTCATGTGGATAAGGGGTCGACTTGAATACCGAGAGCTTAGTTTTAAGACTCAGCTCTGCCGTAGTCATAATAGTTCCGGCAGATTCACGCAAAACGACATTGGCTACTCAAATCCGCCGGTCGATCTCTTCCTCCAATTTTCCATCACTAGTAAATACAGTTCCGAGGTACTTGAACTTCACTGCCTCTCAGTTTATCTGAAGAGAGAGGAAACTGGTTTCACAGCCCAGTCCAGGAAAAAGAATCAAATGGGAGATCGGTTAGATGCGTTCACACGCATGCAGGTCACGTCGCGACCATGACTGTGAAGCTTTCCACAATGCGCTCTAGCTGAGGATCAAAAGATGCCAGTAAAGCATGGTCGACTGCAAACAGCAACCTTCTCGTCTGCACATCTCCTACACCGATACCCTCATCGCCTTGGCAGCTCTTGTCCATTCTATTCATGTACAACAGAAA